GATTGAATAATTTCATATAAGATAGCGATCAGCAGCTAATATTTTAAATTTAGTAATTTAGCGATGAGGGTGATAATTTGATCAGAGTATTGTTAAGTTTTTTTACCTGATAATAGAAAGAAAATAAATCGGAGGGTGTGGGTGTGGCAGTGGGAATGGATGTGGGCTGTGAGTGTGTGTTACCGGACAAAAGAATCACACCCACACCCGTAAAATTTTGTTCTCTATCCGAAGGTAAAGATATCAAGTTTACAAAACATGACTGTCTGGACGATCACCAATGTGTCCCACATTTGCTCACTATATGACAACAAAATATGTATGTGACTTTGATTCTTTCTCTGTCAGACAGCGCGCAAAATTTTACGTCTTACCTATCGTTATTCTTTGAGAAGAGTAAATTGTGTTCGTTGCATCGCATTAGTCATTCTCATAGAGCAAGCAAATATTGATTGCCACACATACTTTTTCCTTGTTCTTTTTCGCGAAGAAAAAGTCCGAGAAGCAACTAGAGAATGATGCACTTCGTTGACTATTGCTAGTTGGTATTTTCCAACTTCGAGAAAAAAAAACAGCACAAAGTCAATATTCAGGTGAACTGATGCTGAACCAACAAATATTGATAGTCACGTTATAGTATCATTTTCGACGCTTTTATAAAAGCAAAATTTTGAGACACTACTGTGCAGAGTAACAAACAACAGTGCTAAAGTATACTCTGAATGTTTTCCATAGGTTTTGATCATCAAGTCATTTTTCACTAAGATACTCTCGTTCTTCCAAATATTTTGGAAGAGTGTGTTTTCGTTTTGCTAGCATTCAAGTGAGCATCTAGCCTTATCAATTCGATAAACAGATCAGACTTGAAATCGATAGAGATTTTTCGACTAAACTGACCGGTTGAAATCTTTGACTTAACCAGCAAAAAAATCAGTGAAAAATAGGCTAGTTCAAACTACACAATATAGTCGGCGAAAAACTGGTCCGTTTCATATATCAATTAACCAGCTAGTTCTTTAGACAGAATTTTCTTACTATAAATTCCACGAGAGCATACAATGCAAAACTCTTAGTGCTCGTGAAATTTTTAATAGAAACGTGTTCTATTTTAGTTTCTGATGTTCTATTTACGGTAATACTAAGAATGAAGAAAGAACTCTTTCAAATCTTTTCAATTAGTAACTCACAACAACTAATATTGAACAACATCTATGCTTTGTTCTGTGTCACTTCCTTCAACTACACAGAATTTTACTTTTTAAAAAAAAAACAAAGTGTACAATTAAAATAAGCTTTACTTTATAGATCGTAGAGCTTTTCACGTTGCATATTGTGGTATATTTTATTTTTTTGATAAAACGTATTTAGAGAGTAAAATATGAAATGCAAAGTGCGGTTATTTATTATGGGGCACTCATTAATTCTTTTTCTGATTCTTTTTTTTTGAGTTCGGTTGTTTATTACTAAAGTCATATCAATTGGTTATCAAGATAACACGTAAATAGAATACAGACTTTTTATTTCATATCTAAATGTAATGAAACCATGTCAAAAGCAACACTTTCTGCCAGTAAATGGATCCATGTTAACTATGCTACATGCGCATATTGCTTCGCTCGCTCACCTACACATATGGATGAACTGTTTTTACATGTCTATTTCAAGCGACGGGCAAGTCCGACAAAAACTTTCTCTATAAAAAGGTCACAGTCGTGAGTAATATTATGTTCGATGGTGATGAAGTGAAAGCCAGAAAAGCTCGTAAGCAGTTGCACGCATTGAGTAATGAACACTTGTTCGAAATAGCAAATCTAGTATGTCTGTCTTCGAAAAGTAAGCCTGCGTTGGAATTCATAGCCAAAGAAGTTTCACTTTTATCTAATCTTATTCCACTCAATGAAAAATAGAGTATCGTAAAGTTAAAAAAGCTTGAACGCTTTACTCAAAAGTATGGTCAAGTAAAAGTAGACCAGAACGGATGTCAAGCCATCTGATTTACCGACAGCGTTTTACCATTTTTTCTCTGTGGCCGCAATCTTTATGCACCTTGCACAACTCGAACTTTTGGGATCTGTTTACAATTAAACCGATTTCAATCGACACTGTTCGTTAGTATCTGCTCTGATAATGCCTTACCTGCTGATGTGGAAGACGGATCGGTTGTCTTTGATATAAGTCCAACGTATTATTATCGTCAAGGAGTGTGTGGGTGTGGGGTTTGAGTATGGATGTGAATATGAGGCTTGGAGTGTGGGGCTTGGGGTGTGGTCGAGGGTGTGAGTATGGGTGGTTGTGAGTGTACGCTGCGAGTGTGCATGTGGATCTAGCAGACTAGAACACCCTCACCCACACCCACACCCACACCTATCCACACCCTTGTTCAGAATCATTTTGGTTATTACTATTAGACAAAATTGAACAGAAAATAAGTCAAAAAAGACAGAAATCAAGATGAACTACTAAAAATTGGACAAATCCTACTTTGTAAATTGTTTAGACTAATAAAAAAAATCATTTGTAACAGGAAGAAAATCAACCAAGGTTGATTCTTGGAGAAAAATACTCGTTTCATTCAATTCAAGTTTCGGATTTATAAAGTTTCAGAATAAGGAATAGTGATGACTGTATGAGCATAAAGATTGACAATGAAATAAAGAATACTAACACATTTCAATCAAATTTACTTTACTCTAGTCAAAATTTCAAATATTTATGAGTGAATTAAAGGGAAACAAGTTCGCCTATAACAATACTGTCAATGTTTCTTTTACTCTTCTGAAGTGGAGAAGAAAACAACTTAGGAACATATTGTAATACAAAATGGTATTATGCTTGTTATTTAAAAATGATGACAGCTGGACTTAAAAAGTCCAAATTAGTGTTGTTCATATTTAACACCAACACTTTTTTTTAAAGAAAAATGAAGAAAAGCAGCAGTGTTCCTCAGTCTTGACGGAACAGTCGGGTCAACAAACAGTCAATACTACTTGAGGATGATTATGGATGAAGTGTAAATTTCTTACACTCAGCCGGTTTTTTCATGAAAAAATAACAAGATGATGTAGACTTACTCGTCAATATAAACAAAATATTAACAATTGGAAAGAATTTGAACATTGATTACTCACTTGTTCGATGGTTTGGAAATCCTGGTAATGTATTTCCACAATCATTTTCACTCAGATAAGGTTTAGAACGAAAAAGGAAATAGTTCCAATAGTTCCGAAACTATGGTAAAGTTTCCAAAAGTTGGGTCTGTGACCAGCCCTCGACCTACTAATGTGAAAGAAACTCTGAAAATTCAAACTGAAATCGATTCTTTTTTCTTTAATTAAAAAAAGGATTAAAACAGTAATACTTTAATCTGGTTAGAATCTGAATTTTAGCCTCGAATTCTTATTGTAGAGCATCAGGACATGTTGTGCCATCGGAAGAGTGCGAAAAGAAGCTTTTTTTAATCATTTCAACTCGCTTTTAATAAAAATTACCCATAGCATCTCATAATCTCATTCAAACGACTTATTTTGAGTTCTATGAAAAAGAGCAAATCCGAAACCTTTGAAAAATTGCGTTAGAGTGACCCAATGTTTGTTTAGTTAGAAGAATACAAATAATTGATTTTCTGAAAATTTAAGTTTGAACAAGAGCATTCTAGAGAATACCACTATTGATCTCATATGTTTTTACAGTTACATTTTCAAGTAGCCATTTTAGAAAGTTCTTTCTAATGCAAAAAATAAAGCGAAGTTGATAAATAATCAAACATGTTTTATTTATATATATATATATTATTTTTAATTATAATTCATATTTTTTTTACTTATAAATAAAACGGCACTTAGTAATGGAAATGATTCATCTTTTAAATATCAATTCTATTTAAAGAAAAACGAGAATAATGTTAAATCAAACGTTTTCTCCAAGGTTGACCCAAGGGAGAATCTTTTTCTTTGTCTCGAGAAATTTATTATAAAAATATGGTTATTCATATTCAATTATCTTCAAAATAAAACCTAAATGAAATGATTAGCTTAAAAGTTAGTTCAAATATCATTCTTTTAAACAGCATTTCTTTAAAAAAAAATAAATATTTGACATTAAATTCAAAAAGCTAGTTATTAAGATTTTTATTGACCAAACAAGAGATAAATCTTACATTTTTTTGATTGACTATTTTATAATAAATAGTTTTTTTAATTATTTTAATAAAATTTTATTTAAATAATTTTTAATATTTTGTCAATTTAAATTTTAATTGAATTTTTATTCAAAATTCATTTTCCTTTTCTATGGAAATCTATTAGAGAGGTGATCAGAACGAGCCAACTCCGGACTAAGGGAGCGAGGGTGGGAAAAATTGAAAAAAAAGCGATTTTTAATACGACGTCCTTTACGAATGTTAATAAAGTAGAAATATAACTCATTACTCATAGATGATTAGAATGGTTAAAAATATCTCTATTCTTTTTTAAAGGATCTTGTGATGAAAGTGTTCTTGATCGACCAGGTGTTTGGCTCAAATATAATTGCATTTCAAAAACAGGATGCATAGGTGTGGAATGGATTAATCCACCAAATTCTACTGAATTGGGTACAATGTTTATTGCCGATTTAAAATCGAATGATGAAAGTCAATATACATGGATCTGGAAAGGCCAAAATGTTTCTAATACGAAAAAAGAACTTCAAAATGATAAAATTGCATTAAAAGCTTTCATACGACATTCAAGTAAGATAAAACATAAAGATTTATGCTTGTCATTGCTAAATATTTTCGTTTATATATATATATATATATGAAATACGTGCAAATAAGAGATGATTAAAAACGATGACAATCTAAAATAGAAAAACAAAATTTGAAAAACTATTTATGCAAATATAATTACAGTAAAACCTCTCCGTAGTGAACACCAACGGGACTATCAAAAAAGTGTTTACTAAAAGAGATATTCATTATATGGATGTTTTGGAATGGTATGTTGTTTGTCGAACGACACTTTCGTCGAATAGACATTTTGTCGAAAAATTTTCGTAGAAAAACATTTCGCCGACAGAATGTTTCGTAGAAAAGCATTTCGTCGACAGGACATTTCGTCGAAAAATTTTCGTAGAAAAAAATTTCGTCGACAGAATGTTCTATTGAAAGATAATTATATGGTTCTTTTCATTTTCTCATCGTCGAGATAAATGTTCAACCTGTCTTTTAATTATCTTTGTATGTGTGGTAACAAAGCAAAAGAATCAGACCGCCGTTGAATATATGCTATAAATAATGATCATTCACATTTAATCGTCATTTGCTCTTTTGAATTTCAACTGCGAACTATCACTTTTCTGTTTATATTTCCCACTATATTATAACTTATTGGTGATTTATTATTCGTTCTCTGGTATTTTAATATCGTTTACTAAATATGAATACTCTTGCTCTCAAATTCTCAACAACATCGAAAGGAAAACAATTATTAATATACGATGGTTATATGTATAATTTGATCAAAGATCGAGGTTGTGTCAAGTATTGGCGATGCCAAGAACGATCATGTTCTGCCATCATTCATACCAACAAAAATGATCATCTGAAGACTCGTAGTGGCAATCATAATCATGTACCAACACCAGAACGCATCGAATTGATTCAATTCAAATATGAAGTAAAGCGTCGTGTTCTCGAAGAATCTACACCTATTGCTCGTATATATGATCAACAACTAGCAGCTGCACAACTAACTCTTCCAGCTCTATCAATTGCACCTACGTCGAGAGAAGCTCGTAAGTACTTGTGATCTCATCTTTTAATTTTAGCACTTATCTCTTTATATCTATTAGAATCATCTTTCCAACACCTACGTCGAAAAACAACACCACCTCTTCCAGTATCAGGTGATTTTGAAATACCAGATCGATGCAGTCAAACTTTAGATGGCAATAATTTCCTTCTTTCTGATACTACTGTTCGAAACAAACGTGTACTTGTATTTGCTACCGGTCTTCAACTGGCCATTTTTTTTCAATCATCGCACATTTTTATGGATGGAACTTTCACCGTTTGTCCTCCATACTTCGATCAGGTTTTTACTATGTATTGTATTCACCATGATCAAGGTCAGTTAAAATTTTTGTCTCTTCTTTTTAAAACTCTGCTTCTTTAGCAATACCATGCATCATTGCTTTACTACCTGGTCGATCAGCGATGATTTATCAATATATCTTTGATTTACTCGATAATGAAGCTAAAGAACTTGGGCTTTCATTTGGACCTGATACGATAACAAGTGATTTTGAGCCAGGCTTAATTAAAGCTATCAAACGTCAAGTATGCTTTTTCCTACTTAACTTTCTTAGCTAATTTCATGAAATAATCCTATTCCTTTTCTCGTTTAATTAGTTTCATAATTCGCGTCATTTGGGGTGTTACTTTCATCACACTCAAAGCGTTTACAAGAAGATACAATCACTTGGTCTCTCATCTCAATACAAAAATGATGAAGAAGTTCGATCTCATGCCAGAAAATTGATGGCAGTTCCTCTACTACCACTTGAAAAAATGAATTTAGCATTTGAATATCTCGTTGATAATCATCCAGCCTGTCTTGATCCATTATTTAATTATTACGAATCATTTTGGATGGAGTCATTACCACTCAAATTATGGAATGTTTCAAATATCAAAATAAAAACCAACAACATAGTCGAAGGTAAGCCTTCTTAATTATACTGTATTTCGAAACTTACGCATCTTTTCCGCAGGTTGGCACAATCGTTTTGCCAATCGTATTGAAAAAAAATACCCCAACATTTGGCACTTTATTAAAGTTCTTCAACAAGAAGAAGTTTATGTTAAACAAACTGTTCAACATGTCAAAATGGGAAAAAAAAGAAGCGCGGAAAAAAGACTTGTCGAATTCAAGAATGCCTCGAAAATTTGGCTAATCGATATACAAAAAAAGAAATCACACTCATTGAATACCTCGAAGGACTTTCACTTTTGGTTGCACACAAAAAATAGAAGTCAAAACATATATGGTTCTTTTTTCTATTCATATATTTTCTGTATCTTGTTGTTATTGATTTTCTGTATTTATTGGTTAGTGTTCTTCAATAAACTGGTCGTTTAATATTTACGTTATACGATTTTTTTCCTATAAAAAAAATACATCATGTTATAGTTAACTTTTTTTTGATATGGTACGTCGACGAAGTGTCGTGTCGACAAAAATTTTTCGACGAAATGTTTGTCAACGAAGTGTCGTGTCGACAAAAACTTTTCGATGAAATGTTAGTCGACGAAGTGTTATGTCGACGAAATGCTTGTCGACGAAATATCGTGTCGACGAAGTGTCTTTCGACAAAAATTTTTCGACGAACAACATAGTTACCGATGTTTTGCATTGACTCAACTGTGGCATGCATACAGTGCATGGTTAGGATGACCGATTGATGACTATTCACCTTTCGTATTATAATTCAGCTCAGTTAGCGGAAGATAAAAAAAAAGGTATATCTTGTGCAGTGCGAAAGCTTTTCTTCATTTTCAAAAATGAACTGTGTCTTTTTTGAGAGAGTCAATGACAGGCATGTACTGAAGAGGAGAGATCTAGTTCCCTCCTCAAGGAAAAATTTCCGTAGGAGGATACAGCAAAAAATTTCGCCTTTGGAAAATGTTTTTTTTTTTAGTGGTCAGTCCCTTCTCCTCCGAAAGTTCTGGCATACGTGTCTGTTTAATCCCTTGACTTCCAGCTTCTTTTCCCATATGTAGTAGGAATGCACCAATTCTCCAAAGGTCATCTCAAAGACGACCTAGTTGCGGTGCTACAAACTGTCAATTTCTGTCAATTCTTCAGATAAGATATGACCAGTTTTGATTGCTCTATTCTATGATAGTGTCGATTTTAATCGAAATAGGAAAAAAATACTAAAATTGACCGAAATTACCTAGAAATTCGCAAATTCGCATTATTTTTACCAATCTCG